AACCTGCACCAGGTACACACACACACACACAACCTGCACCAGGTACACACACACACACACACACACAACCTGCACCAGGTACACACACACACACACACACAACCTGCACCAGGTACACACACACACACACAACCTGCACCAGGTACACACACACACACACACACACCCTGCACCAGGTTATTATAGTGGCCAGGAATGAAGGAGGCGCAGCAGCGGAGTTGAGGATGGCTGTGTTCAGCTGATCACCGCAGTGATTTGTAGAGACGTGAGGGCTGACTGCAGCGGGGTTGTTCATGCTAAACGGACTGCAGTCATGGTGAACCCGCCGTCACGTTGGTCTTTGTAAATGTGTTGAATGCGTCAGTGTACTGTTCTCCCTCAGCAGTGGATCTGCAGGTGTCTGACCCGTACCGCACCTCAGAATCTCTAATCCTGCTGCCATTGGCCAGATCGAGCCGCTCCTCCTCCAATCAGGCCTCGCTGTTCCTGCCACAACAACAACAGCTGGACATGCGGGCAGCGGCCCTGAACAGACCCGAGCAGACGCTCGAGTTCATTACCTGCTCTGAGATGGGTGGTCTAGGCTTGCCATTGATGGTGTTGACGGTTTTACCGGTTTTAAGACGCAACACCGGCGTCATCACTTTTCCACCGTGACGGCGCTGTAGTTTAAAGTGTTCTCTTTGTATTAAATATTGATTTGAATTGAGTGAAATATGATTGTAAATGGTTTACTGAAGCTGAGAGCATGCTCTATAATCAACATCTGAACCGCTATAATGCCTCATATTTCATTATCACATGAGGAGAAGAGAGGAGTCGAGTTTACAGAGAGAGAATGACGGATCATTTAGTGTCTCGCAATGCAAAAACACCTGTTCAGCAATATTTTAATGCTTAATATTTAATAACCCTAACCTGAAAACATTGATGAGGCAGTCTGCAAACTCTGCCGGACAGAGGCATCAGCGTCTGGAGGAAACACAACTCATGTACACACACACACACACACACACACCTAAAACACACCTGATGTTTAACTCTGTGTGTGTGTGTGTGTCGCGGGTAGATGAGATCAATAGTCATGAATACACAACACATCCTCTCATCTTAATCACACAACCATCAGCTCACAATGTTTAATGATCAATAATCTGAGTTTTTATTGAAGCAGACGTGATTTAGTGATGCTGCGCTGTTAATAACCCAACTGCAGAGACACGGCGGCCGCGCCGAGCACTGCCCCGAGTTCAGCTCTGCTCATTTACACTCCATTATTCCGTCATTAATGTTAAAAATCAACAATCTATAGGCCGACAGGAGTGTATCCTGAGAGAGTGTGTGTGTGTGCGTGTGTGTGTATTTTATCCCTGAAGCCGCTCTCTTTCAGACCTGAGAGTTTCTTCATCTGTCTGGCAGTATTTCAGCTCTTAATCAGATGAGAAGTGAATTTAGACGAGTCGATATTAATAAACTGCAGTGAAGGAACTGACGAGCGTCCACACATCCAGACTTCAGCTGCAACCCCTGCGGCTACACCGATTGATTGTGTGTGTGTGTGTGTGTGTGTGTGTGTGTGTGTGCGTGTGTGTGTGTGTGTGTGTGTGCACGTGCGTGTGTGTGTGTGTGTGTGTGTGTGTGTGTGTGCGCGTGTGTGCAGTGTTCAGCTTCCTCTTCAGCGACAGCTGTGGCTTCAGTGCGGAGCGTCTGCAGCTGAGCCGGCGGCGGGCGTCGGTGGAGAGCGTGGCGGGCATGAGTGTGCTGCTGGCGGCGGAGCGGGTGCAGACGGGCAGCTACACCTGTCTGGATTACATCATCGGGGACACGGGCATCAGCCAGGGACGCCACTACTGGGCCTTCCGCGTGGATCCCGCCTCCTACCTGGTGAAGGTGGGCGTGGCCTCAGACTGTAAACTGGCGGATTGGTTCCATGGCCCTCGGGACAGCAGCAGCCCCAGGTGAGGGGGAGGGGCTCGATATTGATGCCATGGCAACACAGCTGAACACTGTGTACACACACACACAACCAGCCAATCAGAGAGCTGCACTGCACACACACACACACACACCTGACAACTGAATATTAATGAGATGATGTCATTGACCAATCACTCATGGGCGCCCCCAAGGGGCCCCCTGTAGTCATCCCAATATGATTTTGCTGTTGATATTATTAACTTAAATGTACTTATGTAAATTCCCAATGTTTCTATAGATAAATAAATAACATGCAGTTATTGTTTGTGCCACTAACGCAGCTGATTCACTGCACCTCTCTTCCCCAGTGGCGGATTTGGGTAATATGCCAAATGCCAGGGCAGCGTGGCAAGTAGCTATCTTGCTGGGGGCGGCACGCGGAGATGATGCAACAAAAAACATCCCCTAGTAAAAGCATTGGGATACCGTTTACTTTATGCACATGTGTTAACTTAGAGGGGCAATCCCAGAATAAAGACATTAAGGGCCGTTCACATCTTTTTCACTCGTTCTCTATGTGCAACAGAAACAACGCTGGTGAAAGCAAACTGACGCGTGCGCGCAAAAAACTGTTCCTGTGCGCCTCACGCACTCGTGTGTGTGTGTGAATCCCGGTTGTTTACATGCACGCTGATAAAAACGCACCGCTCATGTGCCGTGAAACCGGAGTAAGCCTTTAGTGAAGAGGTGTCAGCACGCAGTGAGTTTTGAAAGTCGACAAAACTAAAGTTTATGTAATAATATGATGATGATGATGATGATGATACTTTCACTAAGCATGGCTATAAAGCAGAAAGGAGGGATAAAGAGTCAGGGACGTAAGACTTCATAACATTAATTGTCGGCCATAATTCGGATCTGAGAGCACAGATAATTCTATAACACACATATTATTCTATTCTATAGAGTTGTCATAACTAATATTCATGCAAAGGGTTTCCTAAGTGATCTTAGCATATCACTCGGTTACATTGTTTTCCAGTAACATTTAGGATTGATGTCTGTTATTTCTTTAGAATAATAATTGTATAATAATCTTAATATTAATTGTATTTATTTAGAATAAATATAAATAAATAGTTACATTTATTTTTCAATAAATATAAAAATTTAAGGAGGGTGGGTATATGGGGTGGTTCGCCCAGGGTGTCAACCAAACAAGAACCACCAGTGCCCTCCCTGATCGTCGTTGACAGCGCGCACACACTCTCTCAATACACAGTAATGGACATGTAATATTTACCTTAAGGTACATCAATAGAAGACGCCACATTATTAAAGTGGCTCAAAAAGGGATATAAATGAATGATATTAGGGTCTGTATAGTGAGTGTGTGTGTATATAGTAATGCCTTTTGTTCAGTTTGTTCATTTGTTTGTTTTATTATTTAACTCATTAATCTCCATTAATTTTAGACATGGCATATGCTGTATGCTGTACAATAAATGTGAAAAATAACTGAAATATTATTTCTATTTATGAGAAGTGTTTTTAAACTAAATATTGATTTTTATTTGGTTTGCACATGTACTTGCTGAATTATTTCAAGAAATAAATTGCGATATTTTAAGACTAATTAATTAAATTAAGTAAAATCACATTATTTAATTTACCAGAAATAAAATATAACATTACACTGAATTCATTATTATTTTGTGTGCCACCCCAAGATTAGGTGTGGCCTCTTCTGGCCACCCCTATGAACATTTTCTGGGGGCGCCACTGCAATCACTGCTGGTCATAACTGAGGATGGACAGATCTGTTCTACACACACACACACACACGCAGATCAGCTCATCTTCTTATCTGGTTGAGTCTTTATGAAGATCCAGAGGTCAGGATTAGATGCAGGATCTGCCAGATTATCCCAGATCAGGTGTGTGTGTGTGTGTGTGTAGCTCTCTGATTGGCCGGTTCTGTGTGTGTGTGCAGGTTTGATCAGGACAGCGGGCACGACAGCGGCAGTGAGGATGTGTGTGTGGACGTGTGTCAGCCGTTCCTGCTGCTGACGGTGGGCATGGGTCGCCTATTCGTGCCCAAACCGCCGGCGCCGGAGAGCCGCGTGCTGCCGCTGCCCGCGCGCATCGGTGTGTGTCTGGACTACGAGGCGGGACGCGTCTCATTCTATGACGGAGACTCGCTGCGCTGCCCGTGTGTGCGGCCGGTGGAGTGCAGCGGGGAACATGTTTCCAGCATTCGCCCTGATGGGGGGGCGGAGCCATACACCTGGAGGAGCCAATCACAGCCAAGCGGCTCGCATACCTGTGAAGAGGAGTCTGACTGTGTGTGTGTGTGTGTGTGCGCGTGTGCGTGCGCGTGTGTGAGCGTGCGCGCATCTCAGTAACTCTCAGCGCTTCACCTGTAAGAGCCGATGCCGCTCCCCTGCCGACGTGCCTTCAGTCACACCTGTCCAGCAGCAGACACACACACACACACACACGCACACACACGCCAAGTTTTAAACACTCACATGAACACACGTCAGGTTTCACACACAGACTCGAGATGCACACATTGAGTTTCTCTTACACACACACACACACACACACACACGTACGTTAGCTCTCTCACACAAACACACACACGTTAGCTCTCTTACACAAACACACACACACACACACACGTTGGGTTTCTCACACACACTTGCACACATGTTGGGTTTCTCTCTCTCTCACACACACACACACACACAATGTTGGGTATCACACACATTGAGTCTCACTCACACACACCCACACACATTAGCTCTCTCTCTTTCACACACACACACACACACACACACACACACACACACACACACACACACACACGTTAGCTCTCTCACACACACACACACACACACACGTTGGGTTTCTCACACACACTTGCACATGTGTTGGGTTTCTCTCTCTCTCTCACACACTCACTGTAAAGTGCACTAGTCATGTAGCATCACGGTGTGTGTTCACTGCACTGCACTGAGCTGAGCTGGTGTGTGTGTGTGTGTGTGTGTGGCGCTGCTGATCTCCTCATCACAGCTAATCTGAAGCTGATCTGGAGTCAGTGTGAACACCTGTGTGTGCTCTGAGCGAGCGCACGGCTTCCAGCAGCACAGGTGTGTGTCCCGCAGGTGTGATCCTGACCTCACTCTGCATGTGCTCTGCTGAGGGTCTGAGCGGCCGCAGTGTCTCGGGCCTCGTCTTAATCCGTGTTCTGGGATGATTCCCTCTCCTGCTACCTTCAGCGTCGACATGTACTAATGCTAATGCTAATCAAGCGCACTGATCATCATGTTTTATATCTCTAATGATTTTAACTGTGTGTGTGTGTGTGTGTGTGTGTGTGTGTCTGCACTGATGAGCATTATTGCACTGCTTCACTGTTTCTGCTGTTGTTTGTCGCCTGTATCTGAATGTTCTGCTGGTTTCTGTGGTGATGATGATGATGATGATGATGATGGAGTCCTGCTGGAGATCTGCAGACTGCTCTGCTCTGCTCTGTTTGTGTTGTTGCTGTATTATTGTGGTTTTGTATGTAAATAAAAGCTGTTTTTAACTCCCCGCTGCCGTGTGTGTGTGTGTGTGTGTGTGTGTGTCCTGATCACTAATCAACACCGCCTAACCCTGACAGATCACTCAGAACCAGAGCGAGGAGCTGAAAGCAGCCCAGAGAGGCTTTACAGCTCACACTGCAGAATCAGCTGGCGAGTGTGGATTAAACATGATTATTGATTATTGATGAGGCTGATTGATCGGAGCACTCCTGCATTTACCTGCTCTACTGGAGGACAATGGCCTGAACAGCCCGAGTGCCTCTGCACCATCACTGTGCTCAGCAGATGTGGGAACACTGGACACACACACACACACACACACACACACAGTAATAAAGTAAGAAGGTGTGTGTGTGTGTGTGTGTGGGCACTGATTGTGTCGCTGCACAGGGCTTCATCTCTCAGTCCGCTTTAATGTTTTGCTGGAGTTCCTCCTCCTCTCTGCTGATCCTCCTCCTCTTCCTCTCTGCTGATCCTCTTCCTCTCTGCTGATCCTCCTCCTCTTCCTCTCTGCTGATCCTCCTCCTCGCCGCTGTGAGTCGTGTGTCGACTGTCGGTGTTGCTCACCGGATGGTTCAGGTGTGTGTGAGAGCTGTCTGTGCTGATCTCCCGCTGGTGTGTGTGTGTGTGTGTGTGTGTGTTGTGCAGCCTCCAGCCCTGCTCTGCTCATGTCTGCAGCAGATCTACAGCTGCGGGTGTGTGTCGCCCTCTGTTGGCGGAGCTGGTCAGCGTGTGGACGAGTGAAGTTCCCTACTAAGTGCACTTAAACAGCTGATGTGTTATCGGTGTTGTGCAGACTGAATCCGCTTTTGACCTTTAAAGCCTCGAGGAGTCCGGAGTCTGGACCGGGTCCAACACTGTATAAAGGCCACCACTAACCCCGCCCCTCACCGTGACGTCACCCGCTCCTCTGAGTGCAGCGTGTCTGACAGAGCATCTCATGCAGCCTCAGCCTGCACACCAAGCCTGCGTCCACCAGACTGAGCTGATGATGATGAAGATGACTCAGTGAATAACAGGACGGCTGCAGACACCCCAGATTACAGAATAACCACAGTTACACACACAACCATCACAGACCACACACACACACACACACACGACCATCACAGCCAACACACACACACACACACGACCATCACAGCCAACACACACACACACACACACGACCATCACAGCCAACACACACACGACCATCACAGCCAACACACACACACACACACGACCATCACAGCCAACACACACACACACGACCATCACAGCCAACACACACACGACCATCACAGCCAACACACACACACACACGACCATCACAGCCAACACACACACACACACACACACACGACCATCACAGCCAACACACACACACACACACACGACCATCACAGCCAACACACACACGACCATCACAGCCAACACACACACACACACACGACCATCACAGCCAACACACACACACACGACCATCACAGCCAACACACACACGACCATCACAGCCAACACACACACACACACGACCATCACAGCCAACACACACACACACACACACACACGACCATCACAGCCAACACACACACACACACACACGACCATCACAGCCAACACACACACACACACACACGACCATCACAGCCAACACACACACACACACACGACCATCACAGCCAACACACACACACACACACACGACCATCACAGCCAACACACACACACACACACGACCATCACAGCCAACACACACACACACACACACGACCATCACAGCCAACACACACACGACCATCACAGCCAACACACACACACACACACGACCATCACAGCCAACACACACACACACACACACACACGACCATCACAGCCAACACACACACACACACACACACGACCATCACAGCCAACACACACACACACACACACACACACAACCATTTACCCATTACGGCCAACACACACACACACACACACACACACACACACACACACACACACA